GGAATTGAGACGGTCATCTTAGATATTTTCGGTACCTGCTAAATTTCATTAAAAATAACGGCAAAAAATATATACCGAAGTAAGTTGACCTTAAAAAATGTAAAAATAGTGAAAACCATGCTAGCCGACGGAAACTGTTGGTGAAAGTGGTGCTCGGAGCGACAAAAATGAATTTGGCCCCTTCTGAGAAGAATAGTCGAGCAGCAATAATGACAGGCGGGATCCTTCGATGATGGTCGATCGATATGAATTGGGCGGGAAGGGGCCGAGGAGGGCAAATCGAAACATACCCTCGGGGCACAATATTCATCTACAGGGTCTCCCAAAAAGCCCCTCTCGGCATTTGGCCGTATTCCATCCGATCGGCACCAAATTTTTACCAGCGATGAGAACCCATCAAAAATATATGCAGCCGAGTTTTCTACGCAAAATATTGTAAAACAAAAAAGTCATACCTAAAAAAGACTGATTTTTTTGGAAAAATTTATCTCTGGCAGACAATTGGCACGCGATGGCATCTTTTTATCGTTTTGGCAAAAGCCCATGACGGGGAAGGGGATTAAGCCTCTTTTTAGGTGTCCTCTACGCACTTCCGGTCTCTGCTCAACAACTCATCACAGTCAATCCACACCGTATTAAAAGGAGTAAATTTTTTGGGTTTATTCCTCAGAGAATCTCTGCTGGCCGGCCCGTCCTCGAAAATTTGGGACGGAATTTTATAGCGTAACTACAGGGTGTCCCAAAACCCCCCCTCTAGCGGCGCCCAGACGTGTCCGATTCTCGCCGTTTAGGTATCTATCGAAAGCTCTCGAAAAGGCGAGAAAACAAGGAGGGTTCATTTTCTTTATTATGTATTTTTATTGGCGAATTTTACCTCCAAAAACCATGAAAACGGCAGATTTACGCGAGATCTGCATGCTAATTGCGAAATTCCTATTGAAAAGCTGTCTGTTTTTTAGAAAAACGTTGAATATCGGACGAATAAGAATAAATCTTAGAAAATGAAGCCCGCTTGTTTTCTCGCCTTTTCGCGGGCTTTCGAATGGTATAAAAATTATCCTGATCGGAGCTTCCCACGGACCGCTAGAGGGGGGGTTTTTTGGGACACCCTGTAGATGGGCGGGGATTATTTGGGGAATGCCGTAATTAGCATCAGGCATTCAGAATTCACTCAAGTGTCTTTGAAGAACTCTCCCTCTCTCCCTCTCTCTCTCTCTCTCTCTCTCTCTCTCTCTCTCTCTATCTCTCTCTCCCTCTTTCTTTCTCTCTTTCTCTCTCCCTCTCTCTCTCCATATCTCTCGCTCCCCCCCTCTCTCTCTCTCTCTCTCTCTCTCTATCTCTCTCTCCCTCTTTCTCTATCTATCTCTCTACCTCTCGCTCTGGCTCTCCTTCGCTCACTTTCTCTCTCCCTCTCTCCCTCTCTCCCCCTCTCTCTCTCTCTCTCTCTCTCTGTCTCTCTCTCTCCTGACTCTACCGTTTTAACCGCCAGATCGGGTTACATCCGATAGCAAAGCGGGCGAATCGTGTACCCATTTTATGCCCCCAGGGCGGCAGATTCCTTCCCCTCCGCCAATAGGTGGTTATGTAGTTGCAGGTTCCATGCCGGAAATGCTCATCTACCACCCATCATCCCAAACAGGAGCCATATAGACGGGGGATTATCTCGGCCAACTTTTACTCCACCCCCAACGTCAATTTTGTTTTTCTGGTTTTTTTCTATGTTTAGGGCATCGATTCCCGGCGGGCCAGCCAGCAGAGATTCTTTAGGAAAGGGCAGGCTAGCAGAGATTCTTTTGGAAAGGGCAGGCTAGCAGAGATTCTTTAGGAAAGGGCAGGCTAGCAGTGATTCTTTAGGAAAGGGCAGGCTAGCAGAGATTCTTAGGAAAGGGCAGGCTAGCAGAGATCTTTAGGAAAGGGCAGGTAGCAGTGATTCTTGGAAAGGGCAGGCTAGCAGTGATTCTTTAGGAAAGGGCAGGCTAGCAGTGATTCTTTAGGAAAGGGCAGGCTAGCAGAGATTCTTTAGGAAAGGGCAGGCTAGCAGAGATTCTTTAGGAAAGGGCAGGCTAGCAGAGATTGTTTAGGAAAGGGCAGGCTAGCAGAGATTCTTTAGGAAAGGGCAGGCTAGCAGAGATTGTTAGAGAAAGGAAGGACTTTTAACCGCTTCAAAATCAAGGATCTCTGCTGGTTACCCTCATAACGCTGCTGACACCGATTACGCCATCAATTACCTTTTTTCCAGAAATTTTGATTCCCTTGTGAACTTCTCGAAGTCGTCGCGGCCGCTTTAATCGCCGGGTTAGCTGCAAAGTTCGGCCCAAATTTTTGAACTGCTCGAAGTCGTGCCCGCCGCTTTTCGGGGGAACCTCCAATTTTGTTGCCTTTTTCTTCGCTTATTTCGGGGGATTTTTCCGGCTTGACAAATGGCCATTATGAAGGCGGGGGTGTAATTTCCGGGGGAGAAAACGCAGCGTTTAGCCTTTAGCCTCGCAGTTTAGCCACTCACTCAGCTACTGTAGCCTAAATCCCAAAAAATCTCTGCTAGGGACCCCGAATTTCGAGTGAATACCTAAAGGATTTTTGCTAGCCAGTACGAAAGGTATCGTCCGGGCCTTTTTGAAGCCTCAATGATCTCTGCTAGGTTGCCCAAACCTCCCAAAAAATCTCTGCTAGCCTGCCCCCTTTCCATTTCCTCCAACAATCTCTGCTAGCTGCCCGAATTTCCTCAAAAATCTCAGCTCGTTTCCGGCTGCCTGACACCCGAATTTATCGCCAATCTCGTCAACCCGATTTCCCAGAAAATTAGCTTTTATTGCCGGCTTTTTATCGCCAGACAGGTGCTTTCCAGCACCTGCCAAGACTCGAAAAGGATGGACATTAATTGCGACTGTTTCAGGGCTGGGTTTTAGGGGAATTGTGTCATTTACTAGCCCCAATTTCCTCAAACAATCTCTGCTAGCCTGCCCCCTAGTCTCTCTTTCGTTCTCTCTCTCTCTTTCTCTCTCTCTCTCTCTCTCTCTCTCTCTCTCTCTCTCTCTCTTTCTTTCTCTCTCTTTCTTTCTCTCCCTCTCTCTTTCTCTTTCTCTCTCTCATTCTCCCTCCCTCTCTCTCTCTCCCTCTCTCTCTCTCTCTCTCTCTCTCTCCCCTAGCTACTCTCGACTACGTCGTCTAAATGAATAACGCTATGAAATTAGTCGGCCATCAATTTCCATGTCGAAATCATTTTCCCTTCCCAATATCCTACCGTCATCTATTCTATTCCTCTCCAATATTTGAAGGCATAAATCGAGGCTATCCCACCCAGTCCCCCCCCTCCCAAATCTTCCCAGAACTCAATTTTGGCCCCCCTACCCGAGCTCTTCCCTTTTTCAGCATACTTCACCAAACATCATTTGGCTATCGCCGGAACGGAGGGCGGTTTTGGGCAATTTTCATGTTTCGCCCGGTTTTCCGGAAGCGCTGCACTTCCGGAAACCACGCAAAGAATCTCTGCTAGCCTGCCGCCTGGAAATTAGGAGTGTACCTAGCTGTCACTCCACCTTTAATTCCTGAGGAATCCCTGCTAGCCTCCCAGAAGATAGTCTTAAGCCTAAGCCTATCCTAAGCCTAAGCTTAAGCCAAGCCTAAGCCTAAGCCTAAGCCAAGCCTCCTCCATCCCATTACGCCATGTAATTCGGAGCCATCCGACGAGGGTCTAGCAGAATTTGTCAAAAATTCCGCAATAATCTCTGCCAGTTTGCCGGACAGAGTCTAGGCACCACAGCCACTACCGCCCCATAGATGGGACCTCATCCATCAGCCATCCATTCATATTTGTCCCCCAATAATATCAGGCAGCAAATTACTCATTATCCATCGCGTGGTGGCTCTCTCTCACTCGCTCTCTCTTTCTCTCTCTCTCTCTCTCTCTCTCTCTCTCTCTCTCTGTCTCCACCTCTCTCTCTTTTTTTATCTCTGGCTGGCTGGCGTTGGATTTTTGGTCGCGACCGAACGCAGAAACACACGAAAAGGAACCTGTTTCGTCAAGAATCTCTGCCAGCCTGTCCCATTTCCTAAAAAATCTCTGCTAGCCTGCCCCGATCCATCGCTGACTCAGAATCTTAAAAAACCTACCCGACCGTGTTGACTTTCGCGCAGAAGGCCCAGCGGGCATTATCTTCGCTCCTTTTTTCCGCGAAATGACTGTTGACGGAAGCAATTCCGCGGTGCTCCTTTATCCCCCTTCTTGTCATTTTTGAGATTCGGCAAAGAATGGGGGGCATTATTCGCGATTTCATACAAAAGTCGGGGACCCCGGCAGAATATCCCGTTTGTGCACAATTCCCAAATGCTCGCTGCTAGTCGGCCTCGGCTGACGAAAGTTTCTGCTAGGTATTGCGGTCCCATTAAATCGACAAAGGAGTTGAGGGTTCTTCAAAAATTTCTGCTAGCCTGCCCCTGTCCTAAAGAGTTTCTGCTAGCTTCTTGGCTTCCGGAAGTGATTTACAATTTTTGCGTCAAGAGCTGTCAATCGTCATCCACGAAGATCGGGCTTTGTCTGTCTCGCTCTCTCTCTCTCTCTCTCTCTCTCTCTCTCTCTCTCTCTCCCTCCCTCTCTTTGATGATTTCCAATTTGTCCGCCACCTACTGCCAGAAATTCCCGCATCTGCCCCCCCGTCCCAGGTCCCAGGCGGCCCAAATTCTGAACTCTCGTCACCGGTTTTACCGGCCATTTAGTGGTGGCAAAATGCCAGTCTAGGCCAACTAGCAGAGATTCCCTGAGGAAATGTGGGCAGGCTGGCGGTGTCATTTGGGCTTAGGCTTAGGCTTAGGATTAGGCTCTCAGCCTCGCGTTTTCTCCAGTCACGGCAATGGAGCAGAGTTCCTTTAGGAATCTATATATTTTGAATCTCTTGCAAAACTTCCACGTCTCGTCGATTCGGCAAGCTGCCAAATCGACCTCGACCTTTCTCAGGCTCGTTTTAACCGATGCCGCCACCCTGGAAAAAGCGCGCTCCGGCCAGATGGGGCCAGGACAAACGAAACATCCCGGTCCGGGGCTCTCAATTCTCGACCTAGCCCATTTTTTCGAATTTTTAAGTACGCTCCGGCATTCCTTAAATAATCTCTGCTAGCCTGCCCCTTTCCATTTCCTAAAGAATCTTTGCTAGTCTGCCCTGTAAATTTCGGAATTTCCGTATTTTCCACCCCAAAAAGTTGCCCTTGCCTGCCATTATCTTCGGGGAAATTTATCGTATCCAAATTGGGCGGGTACCCGCCCAATTCCAATGAATTCCAAATTCCGGCCCCTTGGCCACGCGACGCTCCAAATTTCAGGCGACCTTCGGACGGCTATACTTCTATTAAAGGACCATTGAAGGCAGGCGAGAGAGAGTGAGAGAGAGAGAGGGGGAGAGAGAGAGAGAGAGAGAGAGAGAGAGAGAGAGAGAGGATGGACGAAGCTGCTGCCCCAATCTGTGGCTACACCGAGGATTGCCCGACGTCTCGCTTCGTCTACGTCTCTTTTGCAGGTCAGATTGTAGTCTGTAGTCTGTAGTCTGTAGCCTGTAGTCTGTAGTCTGTAGTCTGTAGCCTGGCTGTCAGTTTGGTGATTTCTATCAAAATTTAGCTGCAAAACCCAAAAAGCAGGGGTCATTTTGGGTCCGAGTTTGTAGTTTGTAGCCTGTAGCCTAGTGACTACAAGCTACAACCCTGAAAATCCGCGCATTTCAGGGCTGGTGGCCGTTTTTGGCGTCTTCTCGAACGCGTTCCTCCTCAGGATCTTCATCGCGCGGAAACCGTCGAATGACAGGTTCGTGGTTAAGTTCCTAAAAGCTCTCTGCTGGCCGGCCCATCTGAGGGCAGGCTAGCAGAGACCACTTGAGTGCCTCCCAAACCGTCGATTTTGCAGCCCTTCGAAGCTGTACCCCGCCCTCCTGGCCGTCCTAGACATTCTCCTCTGCATCGCCTACCTTCTCCTGTTCGTCGTCGATGTCCAGATGATCTATCTGCAGGACGTGGTACCGTATCATTTTTGCAGTCAAAAAGCAAAAAGCAAAACATTTTGACGCCGCCCGGGGTCGAACCCGGGGAAGGGGGGGTCTCTGAGGGCCAGTTTGTTGTTTGTAGTTTGTAGCCGGTAGGCTGGATGCCAGTTGAGGGATTGGCACCAAAAAACCCCAAAAGCAAAAAGTCTTCCGGGGCCGGGGGTCGAACCCGGGTCGTCGGCCTGGCAGGCAAGACGCCAACCATTCAACCGTCCATCTTTTGCAGGCTCTCTTCACCGCCTACCACTCGTACATCATCTGGGTGCTGTCGTTCTCGCGGATGAATCAGCTGGCCATCCCGTGTCTCCTAATACTCGCCACCGCCGAGCGGCTCGCCTGGTTGACGCCGAAAATGTGAGCCGTAGCGGTCAAGCCGGATTCCAGCCAAAATCCCGACAACAGAAATGCCGACAGCTAAATGTCGACAACGAAAATGCCGACAGCCAAAATGCCGACAGCTAAATGTCGACAACGAAAATCCCGACAGCCAAAATGCCGACAGCTAAATGCCGACAGCCAAAATGCCGACAGCTAAATGCCGACAGCCAAAATGCCGACAGCTAAATGCCGACAGCCAAAATGCCGACAGCTAAATGTCGACAACGAAAATGCCGACAGCCAAAATGCCGACAGCTAAATGTCGACAACGAAAATCCCGACAGCCAAAATGCCGACAGCTAAATGCCGACAGCCAAAATGCTGGCAGGCAAAATCCCGACAACCAAAATGTGATTTTTTTCGGCCATCTTCCCATAAATGGTTTTAAAGGGGCTCCGAACTGCCAAATCAAAGCCCTTTTGGGAGGGCTCTTTGATTTCTGGCAAATTGCCAGCGGGCGCTGCGGGACGAGAGCCCTCACTCTTTCGATTTTTGCGCCAAGTTGTTTTTGCCCGGTTTCTTTGTGAAAACACTATAATTCTGAGCCCATTTTTGAAATCCTCACTCAATTTTAAATAGTTTTGGTGTTTCATTCATCAAATTTGGCCCAGAAACAGCCGAGAACGTGATTTCGAGGTGACAACCGGCAATTTCAAATTTTGCGAGCTTCCCGGGTCATGGGTGTACAGAGGCCTCCCACGTACAGGGCTCCGATTTACGGGCCGCCACTCAATTTTTGGCATTTCTGGGCCCCTTTAAAATCGGGGTTTCTGGGTGTCGGCATTTTGGCTGTCGAGATTTTGAATGTCGGGATTTTGGCGATTTTCCGGTCAAGCCCTACGTTCCATTTTTTTTCAGGCGCCGCTCACGGTCGGCCGGCCGTCGACAGATTGCGGTGGCTGTTGGGGTGGTGACGCTCTGTGTTCTCATCAGAATACCCGCCCTCTATCTGCTCGATGTTGACACGTTTCCGGGGTGTTCGGAACCGATGAGGAGACTCGCCGTTGCACCCACCATATTAGCCAGCGTAAGCGGATAGCCTTCCTCAAACAGTCTCTGCTAGCCTGCCCTGCCCTTTCCATTCCCCCAAAAACCGATCGATTTCAGGATCCGTGGTGGTTCTTCTACGACACGTACTTTATCGTCATCATCCAGACCGTCATCCCTTTCGTCGGTCAGTTTCCGCAAGTTCTCTCTGCTAGCCTGCCCGCCTAAGCCTAAGCTTAAGCCAAGCCTAAGCCGATACCTAAGCTTATGCCAAGCCCAAGCCAAGCTTAAGCCTATACCTAAGCCCAAGCCAAGCCTAAGCCAAGCCTAAGCCAAGCCTAAGCCAAGCCTAAGCCAAGCCTAAGCCAAGCCTAAGCCAAGCCTAAGCCAAGCCTAAGCCGATACCTAAGCTTATGCCAAGCCCAAGCCAAGCTTAAGCCAAGCCTAAGCCAACCCCTTAGCCCAAGCCTAAACCTCAGCAAACGAATCTATTCAGTGCTTATCGTCCTCAACATCATCATCGTCCGCCGTCTCGGGCGTAAGGAGAAGCTGCTCGTAGCCGGGGATACGGTAGAGGATACAGTGGAGCAGAAGCAGCTGGAGAGGAGGAGGAGCTCCGGCGGCAGTCGAGTCATCGCCACTTTTCGACTCTATAAGGTGCATTTTGTAGTTTCTAGGGGGTAGTTTGTAGCCTGTAGCCTGTAGTCTGGCAGCCATTTAAGAGCCTCCCCCACAGAAAATTACCCAAAACCCAAAAAGCAAAAAATTTGACGAGGCCGGGGGTCGAACCCGGGGGATATTTGGAATTTGTAGCTTGTAGCTTATAGTCTGTAGTCTTTCGGATCCTCTCATCTCCCCGAAACCAGTAACTCAATGTATAAACTATCACCGAATTCCTGCCGTAATCGATCCCCCAGGATTATCCGATTACGCGATGGAATCCCGGTACCCGGGTTCGACCCCCGGCCGCGGCAAGCTTTTTGCTTTTTGCTTTTAGACCTAGATTTCGATGCGAATCGGCAAACTGGCAGCCAGACTATAGGCTACAGGCTACAGGCTGCAAAATGACGTCCAGATACCTCCAAATTTTTTGCTTTTTGCTTTACGCTTTTTGATTCCATGAAATTCCTGTAGACATCATCGTCGGTGCGGAGCGCCGTGTACGCGATGGTGGCCATCGTCTGCACGTATCTCGTCTCAAATGGACTCCATATATTTCTACTTTTACTGGAGAAGACACACGCTTCTGTACTCTACGTGTATGTTGAGGGGGCAGGCTAGCAGAGATTCCTTAGGAAAGGGCAGGCTAGCAGAGATTCTTTAGGAAAGGGCAGGCTAGCAGAGATTCTTTAGGAAAGGGCAGGCTAGCAGAGATTCTTTAGGAAAGGGCAGGCTAGCAGAGATCCTTTAGGAAAGGGCAGGCTAGCAGAGATTCTTTAGGAAAGGGCAGGCTAGCAGAGATTCTTTAGGAAAGGGCAGGCTAGCAGAGATTCTTTAGGAAAGGGCAGGCTAGCAGAGATTCTTTAGGAAAGGGCAGGCTAGCAGAGATTCTTTAGGAAAGGGCAGGCTAGCAGAGATTCTTTAGGAAAGGGCAGGCTAGCAGAGATTCTTTAGGAAAGGGCAGGCTAGCAGAGATTCTTTAGGAAAGGGCAGGCTAGCAGAGATTCTTTAGGAAAGGGCAGGCTAGCAGAGATTCTTTAGGAAAGGGCAGGTTAGCAGAGATTCTTTAGGAAAGGGCAGGCTAGCAGAGATTGTGTGAGGATGAATCGGCTTTCAGTGATGGGGATGAATATCAAGCCTCGGGTGTGTACACAGCCCTCTCCGATTCGGTCTCTATCGCCTACATGCTCTCCTCGGCCGTCCGGTTGTTCATCTACGCGGTACGGTATTAGGGGGTGTAATTGGATACCCTCTCTCTTTTTTCCAGGCCTGCAACCGGGAGGTGCGACAGCAGCTGATCTATTTTGGGACCCGGCTGGGCGCTGGGGAAAAGGTGGGCCTTAAAAGAGATTCTGCCAAGCGGAATTTTTTTTAGACGGCCTCCTCGCCGGCCGTTTTGAGCTCGCCGGAATTGGCGACGAGGAGCACGACTGGGATATCTCCATTGGCAGCCAGAGATTGTGAGAAAGTGAGTGGGAGAGAGAGAGAGAGAGAGAGAGAGAGAGAGAGAGATAGAAAGCGAGAGAAACAGAGCGAAACAGTAAGCGAGAGAGACAGAGAGACATGCAGACAGACAGCGAAACCAGCAAACCTTCAATACCTCCCAACCATAAACAATTCCAGGAAACCCCCCGTGCCGGCCCACCGATCGGCGTCGATTCCGCCCCAAAATCGTGATCCTGGCCCCTGAAAAAAAACCCCAAACAACAAACTACGCCATATCGTGTCTTTTTCCAGCACATGAATAAAGTGGAATTTCTGCTGTTACAAATCACCATCGATGAACTCATCGAAAAGAGCGATGATTCTCTCTCTCCCGCGCCCTTTTAGGCCCCGCCCTTTCCAGACACCTGCTGCCGCTGGGGGGCCTCCTATACAGGACTGTCCAGAAAGCCGAACGTAAAAACCATTTTTATGCCAAACTAGGGCCAACCAGCGTGGCTCAGTACAGGGGTCCCAAAAAATCGACCCCCCTCTAGCGGGCGGCAGTCATGTCCGATTGTGACGATTTAGGTATCTATCGAAAGCTCGCGACAAGGCGAGAAAACAAGCACTTTTCGTTTTTCAATTTAACCACTTTAATTCAGTAAATTTAGGGCGAAAATCCACGAAAACGGCAGATTTTATGCAAATTCAGCGTGTTAATTGCTTGCTAAAGAAAACAGGACGACGCTAATTTTACTCTCTTTTTGAGAGAGAATCGTTAAATATCGAGCGCGGGACAAGATTTTGTAGAACGAAAAGCGCTTTATTTCCGGCCATTTCAAGGGCTTTCGATTGGTGTAACAATCATGTCGATCCGACCTTTCTCCGGACCGCTGGAGGGGGGTTCGCTGGAGCTCTCACTTTTTACTTTTTTCGCCCTGGGCTACGGTATGTGAATTTTTTACTATTCCATCCATGCCTGGCAGTACCAACGTTGCGAGTTCGCCGGTCTTTTAGGCGGAGCTGCGGTGGCTGCCTATTCGGCGTCCCAAAGACCGTAACCCTCGCAAAGAGCGCGCCTTTCCCCGTCGTAAGCGGACTCGAAACTAAATAGAAGTGCCGAACATCAGAAAAAGCCAAAATCTTATTTGTAGCGGCTTTGCAGTGTAGCGTTAGATTCTTTTGATGTAATAAGGATCAGCGTCTTCGAAATCGCTCAGCAAAACAATAATTGGGATTTTTAGCCCCCTTATTCGTGCGGAAAAGGACCGGCCAAAACTCTGACAACAGCCAATTTCTTTCAATATTATTTAGCTAAACGTTTATTCTTTTTTTAGGCGCTTTTAACAAGTTCATATTTGCAATTTATGATGGAATTTGGGGGTCTTTATGGCTGTTTTTTGCGCTTTTGGGCAGGTCGTCGGTTATTTGTGCCGTTTCGGTTTCGTTCTAAATATGGTCTGCCTAGAAGAGCAAAGATACGATTTCCTCGCCTTTTGTAGCGAAAATGGACCCGCTAAATTTCGCTAAATTTTTTTCTAATACTATAATTTTATTAATCACGTTAGAACAAAAAGTGGGTTTTTGCCTTTTCCTTACAGTTTGGGCAGGATGTCTTTTTTTTGCTGCGTTTTAACGGGATTTTCCTCGGCTTTGCCGTTATTTTCGTTTGGCTTTTCACACGTTCTGAAGATGCCCTTGAAGTTGTATTTTCCAGGAGACGCCTGCCGGATGGATGTCGGTTGAGGGGCAGCTGCGACGATCCGTGAACGCGACGCTGCTTCACAATCTGCTCCACCGAGAGTACGTTTTTTGCCAACTTTCCGCGCTAGTTGATCCGGTCCATTCTCAATTCATGGCTAGAAAACGGAGCGAAAGAAGTAGCGCCTGTTTTGACAGTTTTTTTTTGCTTAATTTTTGCGAGAACTTTTAGCTTTACTGATCGGAAAAGTGGTAGAAACGCGATAAAAATCTTTGCCGGTTGCCCCAATTTCCTCAAAAAATCTCTGCTAGCCTGCCCCCATTTCCTCAAAAAATCTCTGCTAGCCTGCCCCCAGTTCCTCAAAATAACATCGATTTTGGTTCCCAAATATGACCCCAAAAAGACCTGGAAATAACGTTCAATTTTCAGTGTACGCTTCCGGGAGACGTGTCTCCGCTCGATGGAGGAGCGTCGCCTCTGCCGTCCCCTCGAAATCCACCAAAGCGTCCGCCCCCCATTCACCCGTCAAACCGCGCCCACCGTGATGGCCCTCGAGGGCGGCGAGGCCAATTTGTAAGCGGTTTTTTCGTGTATTAACCGGGTATCATCGGGTTACTTTCGACATCTCGGCGCAAAAACATTCGATCGCCATACTTTTACGACCTGCGAAAAGCGTAAAATGTGCCCGGTTTGCCAAAATGGAAATCTTTGCTTTTTTATCCAGCCTGCACTTTTTGATAACCATTTTATGGGCGAGCAGCATATTTTTAGAATTGTACAGCTTTTTTTGATAGAAAAATATGGTCTCAGCGTTTCAGGAAAATTCGTTTTTGAGACGTCGGAACTTGTGAAAAATGAGAAAACTTTCTTCCTAAAATCTTCATAAGCTGAATTACGTATTTGCAAATTTTTTGTAGTATTAGGAGAAAATTTAGCACTTAAAATTGGAAAACTGTTTCTGAAAATTTTGAAAATTAGGAAAATCGGTCATTTTTCGACGGAAAATCTATTTTTTTTTTGTATTACTTTTCAAAAGTAGTTTTTTTAGTATTTAGTGTTGGAAAAACTGTTATATTACGTGCTAGATTTTCAATTGTTTTATAGCGTTTTTGGAAAATATGGTCTCACGTGGAAAATCGAAACTGTTTTTAGCGTCGGAACTTTTGAAAGAGAATTTCTAGAATGCTTTCAATTGCGTATTTGCACTTTTTTTGTAGTATTAGGATAAAATTTAGCACTTACAAGTGGAAAAACTGTTTCTGAAAATTTTGCAATTAGGAAAAATCGGTCATTTTTCGACGGAAAATCTTTATTTTTTTGTATTACTTTTCGAAAGTATTTTTTTTAGTATTTAAGGTTAGAAAAACGGTGTAAAAACGTGCCATAACATTTCCCGTGTTGCAGCCTGCTGTGCGGCGGCGCGAACGGCGAGGTGTCGCTGCGGAATCTCGGCCTCGACCCCGCCGACCCGATGGCCTGGATGTCAATGCCGCACAAATTGTAGGCACCAATTTAGCGCTAAAATTCCCCCATTTTTAGGTGCCATCGAAACTTCGTCAACGACTGCCAGTTCTACACGAACGACATCCGCCTGTTCGTCACCGGGGCCCAGGACGGCGTCGTCAAGGTGTGTGTGTGGTTGTGCGGCCTTGCGAATCCACCGGCCAAGGCTCGTCGATTACGCCATGGAATTCGCGCTCTACAGGGTGCCCCAAAAAAACCCCCGCTCGGAATTTGGCCGTCTTCTATCGCATCGGGACCAAATTTTTCCCAGCGATGGGGACCCATAAAAACTAGGTGCAGCCGAATTTTCTACGCAAAATATTGCAAAACAAAAAAGTTATCGCTAAAAACCGCTTTTTGGGAAACGCTAGTACCGAATTTTCGCTATGTTTTCGCAATTACCATGCTGATTTTGCGTAATTTTCCCAAAAATCGTCATTTCGGGTCCGTCTCTGTTCGTTTTGATAATAAAAATTGATGAAAAATCCCAAATTAGACGTAATTTTCGTAAATTAACAAATTCCTCCGGGTGGAAAAAATGCGCTCTTCCTTTTTGCTAAACATTCCGAGGCCCTAATCCATCAAAATCCTAGGGAAATCGGCAAAATAAACCTTAATTTCAATACAACTTTTTTGTCTTACAATATTTTGCTTAGAAAATTCGGCTGCACATAGTTTTTATGGGTCCTCATCGCTGGTAAAAATTTGGTCCGGATCCGATAGAGGACGGCCAAATGGCGAGGGAACTTTTTTTGGGGACTGCCTTTCTGTACGCCCATCCACCCCCCAATGATCCCTGCTAGCCTGCCCTGGTCCAATTTTCTAATTTCCGAAATTTACGCGATTTTCCGCATTTTTGGTGCAAAATTACGCCCAGGTTTTTCTCAAAAACTCAATTTCATGGGCTGCCTTTTCTTTATTGGTCTCCAAAAAGACGTACAAATTCGACGGTTGCGATTTTTGTGCCAAATCCGGCGTTGGAAAAAATTCAGAGCTTTTTTTTGTTGCTTTTTTCCTTCTGGGTGCTACCCTGTTAACGGGGGGAGCTAATTTTGATTTTTTTGCGATTATCCTGACCTCTTGACCATAAATAGAGTATTTTTTACGATGTTTTTGGTAGTTTCTGATTGCTAGAAACCTATAAAAAAATTTGAAAAATCGTATTTTGTTACCTTTTTGGCCATTTTCATGCATTTTTGAGCGAAAGGTCAAGGTTTTTCTAGTTTTTTTATGGATTTTTGCATTGAAAAACTATTTTAAAAGCTAGTAAGAATTTTTATTTGCCGCTATAGGGCTTCACGCGAGTTCTGGGCAAAATTGGTCCCCGTAGCAAAATTCCGTGGCAGTACCGTGCCGCGAATCCGGTGATTTACATGGCGTAAGCGAGCAGTTACCGTAGTTTTCATTTTGCTTTTGAAACGCTTGTAAATTCGTTATTTTAGCTGTGGGATCTGAACGAGGTGCGCGTGCTGGACGAGTGGCGATTCGACACGGCCCCGCTACAATTGCACTGGCATGAATGGTCGACGAAGGGAGGGAATCCGCTGATTGCCGTCGCCACAAAGGGATCACAGATACGCCTAATCGATACAAGGTATAAACCAGGCAGGCGGTTCTATACCGGTAAACGGGAATTTGTATGAAATCGAGGATTTTGGACGAAATCGGAGATTTTGGCCGAAATCGGGGATTTGGCCGAAATCGGGGATTTTAAAGGGCGGATCGGCTTTTGGGCTAAAAACCCCGTTGTCAAGACGGCGAGAAACGGCATTTAAAAGTTTTCCGGTAGTCCGGCATTCCGTTTCGGCGGAAACCGAGCTTAAGTTAAGCTTACAACAACTAAGCTTGCTTTGGGGTCGCCTAGCTTTCACGTGAACTTGGGCGCACAACTGGGGCAGCCCAGCCAGGAAAAAATGTTAAAACGATTTTCCGCGTTCCTTGGATTGGGCAAAAAAAAGGGATCGTGATCAGCGCAAAAAACTCCTCTGGTAGGCTATAGCTGGCGAAATCGAACTCGAGCTGGGGAGGTTCTAGAGCGCTGTCAAACGAATACCTGTCAGAATCTCGAATTTTCAAAATCTCTCGCAAATCAACATAATAACCCCCCGAAATTCAGATACGAATGTGGATTTTTCGTTTCCGGGGCCGAGACACCCGGTCGAGCCCGGGCCCCGCCCCGGCCTCGCAAATTTGCATTTTCCTGGGGGCTCGGAGGAGCCCGAGGTTATGTAAATTGGAGCCGGGGGGCGTGGCCCCGGGGGCCTGATTTCCGAAATTGCCTTGTCTTATTTAAATAGTAAATATAGTTCGAAAAAGAGCAACGATACTCGTGTTTTGTAGACCCTTACAGGCCAGGCTTCACGAGAAAGCACCACAAGACTTTTATGGGTTGCCGTTTAGCCCGTTCGACCGGCCCTTTTCAAAAAATCCGCGATTTCGGTCAAAATCCCCGATTTCGAAGTTGCGAAACTATAATCCCCGATTTCATACAAAGTCGCCGGTTACCGGTATTGAACCGGGCAGGCTAGCAGAGAGCGTTTGAGGAAATGCGGGCAAGCACAAAGTTTTATTGCTTATTTTTCAGGGCTGGCATCGCGCAAGAGCTCTCCTCCCGCCACCAGTCTGTCGTCTCAATCAGATGGTGCCCGACGCGTCGTCATCTTCTACTCGCCGGCACTCAGGATGGGGCACTGTTGGCCTTTGACGCGAGGTCGGCACCTTTCTGCTTTTTCAAACCCATTTTCTAGATCCGGCCGCGGCGCCCTGGCCACCCTCCAGCCCTTCCAGAAGACGTGCGGCGTCGTGGCGTTGCGCTTCTCGCAGAGCGGTTGGTTTTTTTGCTTTCCTCCAGTTTCTCTGCCTGTTTCTCTCTATCAACCACTAGATTTTTATTCAGGCGATGCGCTCGTCGCGCTCGGGTCGAACTTGGCGGTGAAGGTGTTCGACGCCAACACGCTAAAGGAGAGGAGGGCTTTTCAGGTGTGTTTCTCTTTCTCTCTCTCCCTCTCTCTCGCTCTCTCTATCTCGCTCTCTTCTCTCACTCTCTCACATCTTCTTTTTTCAGCTAGTCGACCCGCCTCCCAATCACTTCCACCGTGGCAAACTGCCATTCCGAATGACGGTCAGCGACGAGGGCAGAAGACTACGGTAATTGTTTCCTAGCCAATTTTTCGAAAATGACTGCGAGTTTTTCGATGTGACGTGGCTCATCGGATAGAGCTTGAAATTCTGACCAAGTCACAGCTTCCAAAACTGCTGACCGGCCGGCCACGCTCTTGCAGAAAATTTGCCGGATTTTTCGCCGGAGCTCGACGAAATGCAATTTTTGGGACGCTCTTCCCCAAAGAAATTGATTCTTCAGCAGTTTTTTGAAAGCCGGGATTTGTTCAGGGTTTGGAGCGCCATCCGATCAGCCCCGGGTACCGTTCTATTTGGCCGGGGCAAAAAACTACACAAAAAACAGCCGGGGTTTTTCGATATTTTCGCTATCGTTTCGAGGGTTTTCTCGGTGCCTTTTCGCCTCGAGCATCCAAAAATATACCAAGAGCTTTAGTTATAACCCAAAGTTGTCCCCCACAAAAAATGGTTCTAGTAACAACGACAAAAACCCTCGGAAAATGGGGTTGAGACGCTGGTTTTCGATGTTTCCTCCAGTTTTTTTTCTCGATATTTTGAAGGGGCAGCTAAAAATATACGTTCACTTTAATTATAGCCTAAAATAATGTAATGCCAAAGCTTTATGGCGAGAGCAAGATTAACGTGGTTTCCACATGGGAAGATTAAGTGAGAAGCTAGTTTTCGCCATTGTCGGCATTTTTACCGGATTCCTTGGACTCTAATCGGTAGAGCGTCAAAAACAATACTTAGAGCTTTGATTTTAGCCCTGAATAATGAAAAATAGAAACGGTACGTAAAAATAGAACCTCGGCCAAACAGAGCCGTACCAGGCTCCATCACATCGCAACGCAAAATGCATATAGGCTCCATTTTTTCAGGGTGGCCGTCCCTTACCGCGAGAAGATCCTCTGGGCCACCGTACCCCCCGAAGGCGACGATGGAGATGTCGACGTCCGCGAGCTGGCCGGCCATTTCCAGAGCGTCAACGATGTCTTGTACCGCAATCACAGCCAGCAGGTATCACGTGCTTTTCGGTGCTTTCGCATTATCGGGGGGGGGGGGGGCAACGTTTTTCTGAGGATGGAAGTTTTTAAATAATAGTAAAAATGTTTCTAAATGGGTTTTTACTATTCCTAAACGTGAAAAATTTACAAATTTGCATTAAAAATAACAAAAATACCGATTTTTCGACCAAATTTGGCCATTTTTGATCAAAATGTCGGCTTTTTCAAAGTTTTAGATTGTTTTTATGGTTGAAATATAGTTAATTTTCACTAAAAACACTTTCCATTAAGTTACTAGGCATTTTTAGACTTATGCAAAAAATCCCCCCCCCCCGATAATGCATAAGAACCCAGGTCTTTTTCAAGGTTCTCTGCTAGCCTGCCCACATTTTGTAAAGAATCTCCGTGTCCACGCCGTTTTTTCAGTTGCTATCAGCCGGCGGTGATCAGCAGCTGCTCGTCTGGGGTGCCCTCGGCCAGAAGCTCGGCTCGACCGCACGCCGGGGCATCGAAGAGACGGCACGGGCAGACGCGTGGAGTGACGAGGACTAAATGACGACCAATTCTACCGTAATTTATTCCATTTTTGGACGTTGGAAATAAAGATTTATTAATCGCGAACGAGACAACAAAAACAACCATCAACAACGTGACAATAACAAGCAACAAATAACAGAAACTCAAATGAAATAACAACGGAAATGACGACAGGGAAATTATAGGTTTCCAATAGTAATAAAATCATAAAAATTTTACGAAAATCGGGCAGGGTATAATCAGGCGGCGAGTGTGTGGAGGACGGCCTTCTTGTTGTTGGTGCCCTGTTGGTGCTTCTTCTTCTTGTTCTGCTTCTTCTCGATTTTCGACAGATCCGAGAAGACGCGAATCTGAAAAAGGGGAACATTGATTTGAAAGCAACAGTCCTGAAAAAATGGCCGGAAAGAAGGGCGAGAATACGAACCTCTTGGCTGTTCTCAATCTCGTTGGCAAGCAGTCGAAGGGCCGCAAAGTTGAAGCTGGCCGTGTCCTGAAAAGAGGGGAAAATAGAGAGAGAGAGAGAGAGAGAGAGAGAGAGAGAGAGAGAGAGAAGAGAGAGAGAGAGAGAGAGAGAGAGATAGCGATTTCCCACCTTTATTTGCCGAATCCCCTTGGGCAAATTGGCGCGCAATAGCCCGACGATGGGCACCATCTCGACGCTGTTCGTCACGTGGCAGTGGTGCATTCTGGAAATAAAATCATTCAAAAGTTTAGCGTAAACCCAGGAAAAAGACGGCGGTTTTAAAGGGACAGGCAAGGCATCACGACCATGGATTGCCCATAAATTTTCGCATGACGGCGACACGCATCGAATTTTGATGGCGTAATGGATCAATTAAATCAATTTTCATGGGCGCTTACAGTACAACGTGTAAAGTGTTCAGGACGGAAATTTGAAATGAGAATTCTTTAAAAATTTTCGCTGATTCCGAATGGTGCTATTTGAAAAGTTACAGCGCATTTTAGGGTGTTTTTCGGCAAAATAAAATCGCAACTTGTAAAAAAACTTGTAAAAATCGTAAGAATCCAAATAAGCAAAAGGTTTAAAGCGCATGTTGCTCATTTTTGTTATACCTTTTTTAAAAAAAAGCGCCTTCTAGCCCGTTGAAATTCGGGGAAATTTCTAGCGATTTTGCGGATTTAGCGGAAAATGTTGGTATGGCACCTCATCTGAAAGCACGTTTTTTGCTGAGCCATCAAACTTTTGCTTGTTTGGTCTCCGACATTTTTAGAGGGATTTAAAGGTGCACTGTTTTGGCCCAAAAACACCCTAAAATGTCCTGAAATAACTTTGAAACAAGGGCCATTCTGCAAATTCTGCGAACAGATTCGGAATCAGCGAAAAATTCCGCACAACATAGGCTTGTTAAAATTTCGATCCTGAACAAACACAATTACTGTCAGCGCCCCGCTAGCGCCGTTAAAATCCAAAATTTGCAAAAAATTCCCTTGCCTGCCCATTTAAAACGAGCCGCAAAAATTCAATAAAAAAAATGCAAAACGTACTTGATGAGGAAGAGGGCGATGCGACTGGCCAGCTCGACCTTGTATTTGTTGGCCACACATCCGGCCATCGCCTGCAGAATATCGCCCAGATATGAGAGGGGCAATAGGAGGAGACATCGATCGACATATGAGGCACGAATCTTCCCAATCACATCCAGCACAAAATGGTCGACACTCGCGCTACGGTAGGCCAGGTACAGCGGGTGCGGAGTGTGCTGGAAAATCGGCGATTTTTGGCGGGTTTTTTTTTGAACATATGGGTACAGGACTTTTAGCGGGGGGGAGGGGTACGATTTTTTTTATGTCTAGAAATGCCTGGTAAGTCATTACAAAGTGTTTTAAAGGAGTTTTTAGCAACTTTTAACAATATTTCAACCAGCAAAATTAACTAAAAACGTTAAAAAATGTTTGAAAAATCGAATTTTTGGTCAAAAATCGATGTTTTTGATTTTTTTAATGAAAATTTGTAAAGTTTTTACGTTTAGGTCTAGCAAAAAAACGGCAAACTGAGATTATTTATCAAAAATTAAACCCCAAGAAAAAAATAGGTCCCCCCCCCCGATAATGCGAAAGAACCGGAAAAGTACCTCCAGATCGTCCTTGTCGACCTGTCGCTCCTTTCGGACAATGTCGATGGCCTCGATGATGCTTTCCGTCTAAAAACAACCCGATTTGCAGTACGCCAGACAACAACTGACAGCGATAATTGTGTGCTCGCTCTTCCTCTCAGCCACCGTGGCCTCAGTATCCTTTGTCTCTCCAGCCACCACATCCTCGTCATCGGCCAGCTTCTCCTCGTACAGCTTCTGAAACCAGCAAAATTACATCCAAATCCTGTATTGACTTTAAGATAGACCTTATAAATAGATGCCGTAATCGATTCGCCCTCGCCAAATACCTGGCGTAATCGATTTCGCCCGGGGAATTGAACGTCGTAAGTGATTTTAGCCTAATAATTATACGCCGTAACCTTTTTTTAAACGATTCTAACCTAATAATTACATGTCGTAGGCGATTTTACCCTAATAATTACACGCCGTAAGCTAGTTGAAACGATTCTAACCTAATAATTACACGCCGTAAGCGATTCCTACCTCCAGAAATACCTATCGTAATCCATTTTACCCGGGAAATCAACGCCGTAAGCGATTTTAACCTAATAATTACATGCAGTAATCGCTTGTAACCGTGTATTTACACGCTCTAATCAGTTCCCCCCTCGCCCGATCATAATCCCATTTGCCCGGGAAAAAAACGCCGTAAGCGATTGTAACCGTGTAATTACACGCCCTAATCGATTCCTACTGCGAGAAATACCTATCGTAATCCGTTACAACCCCAGCGGAAATAAACGCCGTAAGCGATTATCCCTCCCCCCGAATTACACGTCGTAATCGAATGTCTCTTGCCCATATTTGCGGCGTAATAAATTAGACTCTTTCTCGCGGAATTAGCTGTCGTAACCGGTTTTTTTCGTGGAATTATGCCGCGTAATCGGTGATTTTTGCGAGACAGCTATCGTTTTTTGGCGAAATTAGAATTCAATTAAAATTAAAGATAAATGAATTAAATTAGCAGAAAAATTAGGGAAACCGGGCTCCAAAACAGCGTAAAAATGAGGAGATACCTCTCGTTCGACCTCTTCCTCTTCCTGCAGCACAATAATCTCCTCGGTCAATTCCCATCCACGAATCGATCGATCGTGTGAGGCCGTCAACAGCATATTTCCATTGCTCGTCTGCGCCAGGGCCCTCATCTCGGCCGTGTGCCTGTCCAGCTTCTGCACCGCCTCGAACTTGACGGCATCCCACTGGCGAATCTCAATTTAGAGATACGGAGAAAAACGGGAGAATTCACCTTTCCGTCTCGACCCGCCGACCAGACGAGCATCTCATCGCTTGGCGAGAACAGCACCGCGGAGACGCTGAAAAAGATAGATTTTGATAGAGCGAGAGAGAGCGAGAGAGAGATAGAGAGAGAGAGAGAGAGAGAGAGAGAGGAAGAGAAAAATGAAAAACTGACGCTTCATCGTGTGCGTGGAAAGACTTGTGACAGTCGCCAAAGTCGAGGCCCCAGATCTTGATCGTCTTGTCGGCCGATCCGGTCACCACCAGCTTGTTGTCCTGAAATGTACAAAATAAGAACAGCGCCTCTAGTAACGAAAAATCGATAATTTTTCCCAAATTGCCGCTGCTAGCCTGCCCCCAACTCGAAAGATCGCTTTCTTTTGAACTCGCTGATCGTTTTTGAAATACAGACCGCCAAAACGCCGAAAAGGTGAAATTGAGACATGAAAATGCCGACAATCCCGAGATTAAAATTGGAAATACCGACAAGACAAAAGGCGGCAACTGAAAAGCCGACATTTGGAAGGCCGCGGGGGTGAAAAATCGTTACTTTTGAGAATCCGATCGCGAAAATACCGTCCGCCAAAATGCTGCGAAAAAAAATAAAGAAATGCCGAAAGCCGAAATGTCGGCCAACAATACAAAATTCCGAAATTCAAAATGCCGACTAGGAAAAATGCCGATCATTTGTCGCCACTTGGGTTTCGGAAACTCATTTGTCGGCATTTGAATTTTGTATTTCCATTTGTCGGCATTTTGGGGTGTCGCAATTTCATTTGTCGGCATTTCGCCGATCAAAAATCCATCTGTCGGCATTTTCACCGTTTCCCCCGGAAAACCCCCTACCCCCCATACCGGGCTTGTGGTGCAGCAGGTGACGGGCATCGAGTGGCCGTAGAGAGACAGGTAGAACTTGAGCGTGTCGACGAAGAACACGGTGGCCGTCATGTCGAGCAGGCCCACGATCAGGAATTTGCCTAAAAAAGGAGCGGATTGCACGCGAATGCCGGCAAACGGACCGTCGGGGGTGATGGCGGCACACAGCGCCTCGTCCTGCAGCTCTAGCACCCGCTTCTCCCGCACCGTCAGCCGTTTTCTGCAAGGAAAATGTTTCTAAAAAGAGCTCTGTCTAGCCGTCCAGAGGAGTTTCCGGTTTTTTTAACGATCTAGGCGCAAAACGAAAGCTCTCAAAAAGGCGAGCCGACCCGTTTTGCCTAATTCTCGAATTGCGGCTAACTTTTGCGCTAAAGTTGCACAAATTTTTCTAAAAAAAACAATTTAATCGTGTTAAACACCATCCAAGCTCCGTTTTCCCAAAAAAACCCCCCAAAATTTAACAATTCCGGAAATGCGGTTTTTTAAACGCTTTTCCATTGGAAAACAGCTCCGGGAATCAGGCCCGTTTCGCCACAATACTAGTACGTGCGCCGAAAATTTGCGAATTTCGAAAAACCGGACAGCAACTTTCGGTATTCTGTATCAAGCGAGAGCGGCCGATGAACGCGTAGCGGACGCGTCGCGTGCCCTCAGAAACCTCAGCAATCCATAGAGAAGGGCACACGTGACGCGTCCGCACGACCAACAGCCCGAAACTCACTGTGTGCCCTCGTTGACGAGGTCGTAGCCCCAGAACTTGAGCTTCTTGTCGGCGGAGGCGGTCACGAAACCCTGAATGGGGGATTGGAAAGAGTGAGACGGGTCGCGTACCGTATTGTCTGGCAGTCGGACCAACGCCCAAATCGGTCCCTCGTGCGCGTCGCGTTTCTCGAGACATTCACACGTCGACACCTCGAACAGGAAGAGCTGCCCCATCTAAATTGCTGACATAAAGGGTGTCTAAAAATTGTCCGGCTTCTAGCGGTCCGTAGAAAAGTTAGTTTTTAGCTATTTCTGTATGAATTCAAAAATTTTGCAAATTTCTTGGTCGATTTTTCGAATTTGGTTCTTCTGCATTAGCGGGGGGGTTTTTAAGGATCCAATTTTCAAATAAAAATAGTGAAAGTGTTTCTACAAGTTCTTCTACACTGTTTCTGCCAATTTCCACACGTACAAACTTTATAAATTTGTCAAAAATACAAACAAAATTCGATTTTTCGCGAAAATTTCGACTTTAGCTAGTTTACCCTAGTTTACCTGAAATATCGTGATTTTTACCCAAAATGCTCACAAAATACTTGCTATCAAATTAATAGACTTAGAGAAAAATTTCGCCCCCCCGATAACGCGAAAGAACCTGGAATTTTTATATGCCATTTTTAGACAGCTGCTAGCTCAAAACACCCAAAAAAAATCACGAATTTTCAACAGCGGCACGCGTTGAAAAACACGTTTTTTTCAGAGCTTTCAATTGGTGCCAAAATCGCGAAAATCGGACTCGTCCCGGAAGCGCTAGTCCAGCAAAAGCTGCACACCTTGGTGGCGGCGATGACGTGCCGATCGCCAGTGGCAAAGAGGACGGCCGTCACGTCGTCCATTCCCTCTTCTTGCAGACAATTCGCCGCCCGAAACGTCTCGACGTTCCACAGCATCACCTGAAAATGGAAGATCATCTACTGACACCAGAGACACGAGCTGTACCTGATTGCCACCGCCAGTGGCCAGCAGCGAGTCGTGCGACGCGACGCTCATCGACCGCACGTCGCCGCGATGGCCCATCTAAAAAGAGAACATAGATAGATTTTTCGGAAAATTGCTGACCTTCTCCAAATCGGCGGCCTTCTCCACGACCACCTCGTTCGTGGCCGCGTTCAGCTTGACGTCCAGCGACTCGACCGAGTTGTTGACAAACAGGCAGAATGCCTAGAAATGACAGTTAGAAACTACAAAATCACGATTTTACCCGATACTGCAGAACTCCGTCGTCATTTTGAGCAGGCTGCGACGGGGCGAAGGAGATCCATTTCGGCTTGGCCGCAGCTCGCCATTCGCCAATCCGCGCGAACACGAGCGTCACGTCTTTGCCGACGTCTTCTGATGACGGGCCCTCGTCGGCTCCACTGAAAAACGGTTACGCCATTAATGCAAAAAATCGATACCTATCCGCCGCTTTTCGCTTGGCTTTTCTCAACTTTTTGGAGAGCCGCTTCCGGGCCTCGTCGTCACTGTAGACGCGGTAGAAGTCGATCAGCCGGTCCGAGCCCTAAATTGACGGGTTTTGGTACTGGTCTATTAGCGGGGGGAGGGGGTAAAAAACCCAATTTTTCAAATAAAAATAGCGCAAGCTTCTCTAAACTGTTTTTTTTGTTATTCATAAACGTAAAAAGTTCACGTTAAAAATAGAAAACATCGAATTTTCCACAAAAAAACAGCCGATTTTAGGAAAATTTCGACCCTAAATTTTCTTCGCGTTTTTGGATAGTTTTTCCAGTTCAAATTTGGCTATTTTTATGAAAAAGACTAATAAAACACTGGCGATTTAGTTGCTAGGCATTTCTAGACCAGAAAATGACGCCCCCCGATGATGGAAAAGAGCCGGGAATGCATAAAAAAACGAGAAAACTGACCAATGCAGCTACCAATTGTCCGTCGGGGCTGACGGCGAGCTGGAGGGCTCGACCCTTGCACTGGCGCAGCACTTTCCCTCGCAGGGTGACGCGTACGAATTTCTGCAAAAAAATCCGAGATTTCTCCAAAACCAGCAGACCACTCACATTCTCGCAATCGCCGAGCAGTTGTGGGCCGTCGAGAGGTTTCTGCGTCTCTTTCGGCTTCTTCAAATCCGGTCCATCGTCGCCAGGCGGTAGATGACCTTCTTCCCCGCTCAGCCACGTCATGTCAAAGATGTACAGCTCGAGCTCGGAGGTGGCGACGATGAGCATCGTGTCCTCTTTCAACAGCAGAAACGAGTAGATCTAGAAAATCAAGTTTGTAGCTATCTATAAAAAAGCACCTCAGATCGACTCTCGGTGAGCGTGTAGAAACAGCTCTGCGAGGCCACATCCCAGAATTTGACAAAAGTGTCCTTGCAGGCCGAGACGAGGCGCTTGTCGTCGCGCGTGAATTCGACGTGTGTGATCGATTCCTTGTGGCCGTTGAGGCGAAAGAGGCCCGTCTCTGCGACAATGTCCCACAACACGATCGAGCTGTCCTGAAAAACGATTTTTGAGGTTGAAACGCTAGCCGTTGCGTGGACTAGGGTCCGAATAACTTTTTCAGCCCTCGAAATGCCCGAAAATTTGCGTTTTTAGTTTCGGAACGTTTTTTAGCGTTTTTACGACCGCTTTGAAAGGTTAAAAACCTCTAAATTCGAAAAAAATGCCAAATTTAACAATTTTGGGCGGAAAATTTCTAATTTTTAATCTAAAAAAATGAATTTTCAAATCGCAAAAAAAGTAAAAAATAGCGAAAATGCCTATAAAGCCTTAGCAAGTTGCTCAAACTTTCAAAAGCTATCAAAATCCTTCGGATCCGAGTTTTCTTCGGCCATAGCGGAGAAAAGCGATGAAAAAGCCTGCCGCACCTTTCCACCGGACGCGAGCGTCAGCCCGTCGTGGCTGAACGCCAGGCAGTTGACGCCCTTCTTGTGGCCCATGAACACGATGCATTCGTTTTGATCTAAAAGTGGAAAAGGTTGGTTGGGAAAAGGGATGAAGCCGACCTTCTGCTTGTCGATTGAAGAGTCGAATGGCCCCGTCGGAGTATCCAATCGCCAGGAACTGCTTGTTGTGGCTGAGTCGGAGGCACGTCACTTGCTTCTCCGACTCGCTCAACGAGGCCACCTGAATGCAATTATTGTAATCACCCAGAAAAAACAAACAAACCTTTTCCCCGGTGCGGAAGTTGTAGAAGTGGACGTTCTCGCAGGCGGTGACGGCGCACGTCTGGTGGTCGAGGGCCACCACGGCCCCGTTCGACGAGCCCACTAAAAAAGTGTCAGGTTAAAAGCCAAGTTTTCACAATCTTTTAAACGAAAAGGGTGCAAAATTCGAAAACCATAAAAACAAACCCGCGTTGAAGCTGCCGACATGCGCGTAGCGTAGGTACTGCTTTGTCAGGCCCATAAAGTACCTGCAAAAAAAGAAGGAAGCTCTTTTGTAATAAGAAACGGTCAAGCAGAACAAAAAACGCCAAAGTTTGCAAAAATTGATACCAATCAGCGCGAACCCCCCGCTTCGCGCCGGTATAGTGCTCACCCTCCCATGGGGATGGGATCGTTCGCAAAAAGCCGAAATCACGAACCTCCGTTCCGCGCCATTCCAAAAGACGGATCCGGGCCTGGGTCCCGCAGCGCGCAGCATGGGTGGGCCCTTTGCCGGGGACCATGACATTTCAGCAACGACATTTCCGCCAAGTTGAGGCCAAAAACACACAAAACTTTCCAAAGTAAAGATTTTATTTGTATTTTAGGCATAAATAAATTAATTAAGTTTTAGTGAAATTGAACTCTTTTCACTTCTTTTGCTACAAGCTTCTTTCACTTCTCGTTTCTCGTTTTGCCTTAAAGTTGAAGTCCAGGCTTCTACAAATATATTGCTTCTAGGTGCCATGGGACTCGGACAGGTGTCGCTCGCTCTGCCCAAATGTCTGAAGATACTCTCTACCATCAGTCAACGAACAGACGAATGCCAAACCGGTTAGTGATGCCGAAAATTTGTTGAAACATAGGTTTAGACGGCAGCCGGCCAAGATTCGACGCTTTCTCCCAGCTGAACATCGCCTTAGAGGAACGGTATAAATTCATCGAGGTTGGTCAGCCGATTGCAACAATTCATTTCATCTTTTTAGCCGTCCACTTCTACGGCCGAGGCTTCAGCGGACGATTCGCGCGTCCTGTTCGCCAAGAACTTCCTCTTCGTCGTCACCGAGGTATTAGCGACTTTTTTAATGTCAAGAGAATGCTTTTTAGTTAACTCAACGACTCGAAGAGTACTCGAAAAATGCCGGCGACCCGTGGACCTTGCTGTCGGTGCGGGATATCAGGACGGTGAGGCAAACGCTTGAGCTGCTCGTCCTTTCCGCCTTCTCACCGTATCTCCAACAAGGTTTGGCTTTCATCTACGCTCGGAATCATCCTTTTTAGGCGTTGGAATCCCGGTGGAAAGCTCGAAGTTCATCGGTTCCTGGAGGCGGCCGGGCGATGAGATGGCGGCTTCCGGGTATCGATTTTGAAAGGATTTTTGCCGATTGCTTTGGCTGTTAATGTTATAGCGTTTATGAGCAAATTTCGCTATAGTTCAAGTAGAAAACGGTTGAGAAAACCCTGTAGTTCTTTAAAATTTAGCGTTTTGATTGAATCGTTGTTTTAGTATTTTTGCATAGCGGTTTATCGTCTGTTTTCAAATGTTGCGCCGAAAAATGCTAAAAATTTGGGGCTTTTATCAAAAAACCGTGATTTTGGTATTTTCTCATAACAATTTATAAACTTGTTGCGCTTAGGAATACTCTACAACGCGGTTATACTTATTCCAATTCATTTAAATGCAAAAACGGTTTAGCAAACGCCGAAAAATAATAAAAATTTGTGATTTTGATCGTAAGTGGGTCATTTTGCACGAAAAATCGCTATCTTTGTATTTTTTTTATAGACATTTATATAATTTTTAGGTTTAGGAAAAGCGTGAAATAGTGAAAAAACTATTGAAGTTTATCTATTTATTTAATTTTATTTCAGAAGTCAAATCTTCCGGTCCCTCCATCAAATCGCCGACATCATGTGCGCCAATGAGCAGGTGAGGGAATATTTCTTGTATTTTTATTAGTCTTTTTTTTAGTTGCTGGAATTCGGCGAGACGGGCGTGAGCGACCCTTACGAGCAATTTCTGGCCACTATGCTCCTCGATCTCCACTTTTCTCACATCGAATTTTTATTGTCTTGGTTGGCTTGTTTGATTCTAAGTTTTCTATGCACCACATCTTCCGTTTTGATTTGTCGAAATATTTATCGGGATCTTGCAATACTTATCGCGTTGAAAAAGTCGAAAATTCTAGGATGCTCGCTACACTTTTTCCGATTAACCCAAGTTTGTAAATTCTTGGGTTTCGGAAATGTGTAGAAAACAAATTTTATGGGGGCTTTAAGGACACGGATTCTGCGGCAAATTAGATTTTGAAGCAATCCGTGTTTAGCTGCCTGCTTGTTTCTAAATGTTTGCTAAGCGTTATTCAGCGATAGGTATTGCTCGATCTACCATTTCCTCCTCTTTGTAAAATATTTCTGCTTCCCTGCCGTTGTATCCGATCTTTTATTGTATACCCTCATCACACTCCCAATTCGACCCGTCGAATCCACACTTCCCTCGGCTTACGGCGAAATGGGTAAGGAAAAGCAGAATTTCAGATTTTATTTTGGATTTTTAAGGAACGAAGCCATGTGGCAGAACGAGCTGCTTCAATTCGAGCTGGCCAAGCAGCTCGCCCTCTTCCGCCGCGGCTACAAGCCGATCGTGTACTGCCAGAAGATCGCCCGACAGCTATTTCAAGTACTTTTGGTACGTTTAAAAGGTTCTTTTTTGCGATACTTTTTGCGATTGTTTTAGGATGCTGTAGTATTATGCCGTCGGCATCCCTTTCCGCCTCACGATTAAACGATTTTTCGACGAAATTTTACTTAATAGTGCTTGATTTTGGCGGGGCAAATTAGGGTCCTAATTGATACGTTTAGGCCCCTAAAGAGCACAGTTTTAGACCCGAAACGACATGTTTAGGGGCCTAAACGATTCGGTAGATGCCCTAGTTCAGACGCCCCATCCCACGGGCCGAAGTTGAAGTCGGGAAAACCTAGACACATGGTCAACCCCAAATTTAGCAAAATACCATGTGAAACTTTTCGGATGGGTTTAGTTGTTAGGAAATAAACATTCGTTTGCGCCTAGGCATTTAGTCACCCCTAAATTTTTATGCCTTGAAACCGTTACTTAAATGTTCTAGGGGCATCCTTCACCTTTAAAATGGTCAGATGTATATTTTTTTCAACATTTTTGCAACGTAGGTCCGGCCTACTTTAGGGGTGAGCCGAACATTTTTCGGTACAACCCTAGACATTTTCGGGGTTCCACCTAAACATTTCTACATGGATGCGGAAACCTAAACGTTCCCTTTACGGGCTCCCCAAGAATCCGGCCCCTGTTCTGTAATCAGCTGGACCTGCTGATCATATTGGCATATAAAAATCCGAAATCCGTGAGCGACCGGATACGGCAATTCAGCCAAAATTAGAACAACGGTGATATCCGGGGGATCGAACCTCCGATGGACAGATTGGCATGTACACTCTAACCACTACACGATGATCCGCTTGAGAGCACGGGCGAAACACCCCCCTTATGCGTCAAGGGCAATGCCCTAGGCATGGGAAGAAACGGGAATATGAGGCAGATACAAAGAGACGACTGTCAAGACTGATGAAATTTCAATTTTTTTCACATGATGAAAATTACCTCCAAACGGAATAAAACCGGCTTTACCTTGTAAACAAATTGGTATTTTCACGAAATTCTGAGAAGGCCGTCGGAAACAGAAGATTCGTTTCCCCCTAGCGACGAAGAATTAGCGCATTTTATGTACGGGAGGCCCCTCAAATCGGGCCTCGAAAGTGACATTCACACACACACACACACACACACACACACACACACACACACACACACACACACACACACACACACACACACACACACACACACACACACACACACACACACACACACACACACACACACACACACACACACACACACACACACACACACACACACACACACACACACACACACACACACACACACACACACACACACACACACACACACACACACACACACACACACACACACACACACACACACACACACACACACACACACACACACACACACACACACACACACACACACACACACACACACACACACACACACACACACACACACACACACACACACACACACACACACACACACACACACACACACACACACACACACACACACACACACACACACACACACACACACACACACACAGTTTCACGCAGAAATTATATAGTTAGAATAATATTTAATGCACCAAATGCTCATCGGAAGATGCGAACTTGCCTAAACCACAAATTGCTAGAACCATTAATACCAGCCATACCCGGATCGTCTACGGATCGAATTGATTTTTTCGGAAATTTTAAGGAACTGACTAAGCTGAGCTTCTTTTTTGAATTCGACCCTGCCTCCCCAACTGAGTTCTACTGTTAGAGATGGGGTTTCGGGGCTCTCTTTCTCGCGCAGGAGTTTTCGAGGGGAGCGAAATTGTACATCCACCCCGTAGTATTCGTTTACTTTTGGATTCTTTCAGTCCCCATTTCTTGAATTCTCTTTTGTGTTTTCTTTTTTCACAGAATGAAATCTCTCAATTTTTGTACTTTCAGTACGTAAAATGGTCGAGGAAGTACGAGAACCACTGTGGGCTGCGTGCGGTTCAAAAGACGGATGGACCTCTCAACTGTCCCAGCTGCTGGGAATGATTCGTCCCGACCTCGTCGAAAGCTCGAGCGAGAAGATTTTCGCCTGGTTAGGACAAGGGTTGAAGAACCAGCGCGGAGATTTCATCGAGGTTTTTCTTAGCTGGTAATCAAATTTCTGTGTTTCAGTTTGTCATTTTTTTAGTGTAGTATCGACACCGATGAAGCAAGGAGTATACGCGCGTCTCTTCAGCCACATAAATGCCAGAGATGAGGAGATTGGCCGAAAGGTAGCTTAGTTTCTGAGTGTGTTAATTTCAATTTGCAGTTTATCGAAAAACTCGGCGTGGAAATCTCGACGCTCATCGAGACAAGAAAATGGCAGAAACTGATCGATATGGTTGGTTTTCCTATTTGTTAATAAATTGGTGGTTTTTCTAGGTCCGGTTCCTCTGCTTGCTCAGCGTAAATGGCACAGTTACACCGGATTCGATTTTGGACAGCGCGAACAACTTCATCGATGGCGCAAATTTCTGGATGCACAATAGCCCGGTCCGTTTTTTTGTGGTTTTGGGCTTTCGCCGTCTACGGGCAGTTGGTAAAGCTCGAGCCCGGGTTTCCCAAGACGGTTTTGCAATAGAAGGTTACACAAGTCGTAATTCGTATTAACTCTTGTAGTAATGTACTAATCCTAGTATAATAGTACAAAATTAATGTCGATGATACTTTGATATACCTCTGGAAGCGCCCTGGGCTTGAGCTTTACAAACTGCCCATCCTACGCCTGCAGAAAATCACTTTTTTTTGCGGCAACCTGTAAAATTCGAATTGTAGGGAGACAGACAAAGCGGTTTGTGGTGAATTTCGTACTAAGTTCTGTTTCGAACCGACAGTTAATGCATGGCTTTTTCTTTCTGTTGGTTTCAACAGTTTCGATATGCCAAAAATTATGTGTATTGAAATTTCGGATTTGGAAGTTTATGGGTAACGCTGGCCTCACCCCCGCATCCCACAATTTGAATTTGGAATTTGAATGCAAAATTTGGCTGAATTCTCGGTCGGCGGGCGTACGGACATTAGAAATTTGGATATAGTAGATGGTAATATAAGTTAAGAGTTTATTAGCGATCGGTTTATGAGTAATGACGTGGAATCGTTCAAAACAGGTGTAAAACAATTTCGTATGACTGTTTTCAGCAGCGCGCCAATACATTCGGAAGAGCTGTCATTGCCGCGATTTCTACTCTCGGACGCAGAATGTACTGCGACAATCCCGTTAAGCTGCAGTCTTTGATGAAGCGAGTTGAAGAATACACGCAGGAAGCAGCCAAAATACGTGGAACGGTACAGGAAATTGATTTTGCATGATTTTGTCCGTTGTAGTTCGACTCGAAGCTGTCCGACGACGCGTTTGATCATCAGCAGCTCTTACGCGAATGGAAGCATTTGCAAGCCCTGCAACATGAAGGATGGAGCTCTTTGAACTTCTACGAAACGCTGATTCTTGATGGCGCCGATTCGCATGAGATGCCGAATATTATGCAGGCGATCTTGAACTCGACCGATCAGCAGGTTCGCGCTTTCGTTGCTAGCGTGTGGTAACTATTCTTTGGATGCAAGTTTGAATGAAGCGTCGCATCCCAACTTTATAAATTAAACTTTATAAATTCCCTCCCTGAACTGATCCTCAACATGAGCCTGAGATTATAACCTCTCCTAGGCCTGGCCTTTTACTTTTGACAATTCTCAATTGGGCTTTATTAGGTTTGCGCTTGAATTTTACGAATATCGATGTTTATATCGACTAAAACTTCGGTTTTCAGGATCCGCAGGATCTTGTGCAAGGACACCGGATTGAGCGTCTACTCAGTTACATCGGCTTGTCAGCATCCACTCCTGGAACTCGGTAGGTTTAAAGCATGTTCTGGTATTTGAGTCGTGGGGAGGGGGGGGGAGGAGTTTTTCCCCCACAGAACTTAGTTTTTTCTTTTATCGATGGGTATCATCGAAATTCAAACCTGAAAAAGGAAACTAGGGTTTTGTGTGTTCTTTTTTGCTTTCAAAAGTCTGCTCTCTTCCCTGCCGGAATATCTGCCGGCCTATACCCTTCCCCCCCGCCTCCCCGCTACGTATATCAACTGCCCATATATTCGTAGTCAGAATTTGCATTTGCATATAAGCTTTTTTCAGTTCGCAGAAAGACCTCGTCCTCGTTTCCGCTTTCTCGTTGGGCATCTTCGTCGGCTATTGTTGCGGCAAAGCGGCGGATTCAATGTTCAAGGATACTATGTTCGAAATTGCCTGCACTTGCTTGGGCTTTGCGTTCTTACTTTTAATACCCTGCCTATTCTTGTTCCGCCTGTTTTGTTTCTCCAAACGAGATTGTTAATTTATCACTGTATTGTTGGTGAATAATTCCGCGTTATCACCCAGTACTGTTTGTTTGCCGGTAACCTGTGTCCCGTATTTCCGTATGAAAGGCCGCTGACGTTTTTTTTGAAATCCCTACCCTCGAAACAAGCCGAAAACAAAATGACCTCGTCCTGTGCTATCAAATTAGTTTCCAGCTAGGCGACCCATTCAAATTCTTTTAAGTTGCCACGCCAAAGTCTTCAACCCTTCGCCCTAGCCCATAGACTCTCCTAAGCAACAACCCCTATTATCCCCATCCCTCGTCTTTCACCCATATCTGTTTCTCTTTCCTTTTTACGTCAAATCTCTTATGATTTTCCCGCAGGTGTGATATTACCCAGTCACGTTCATTCCGGATAAACCTTTTGTCCGATAGACAATTGTCCCGAAATACATTTGGGATTATATCACAAGAACTCAACTGTCTGAACGGGCCGTAGGAGCAAAGGCAGAGTGTGTAGTTTGGTAATTCCGTGCTCCAGTTTCCTTGATCCTTTTGGTAGATATTTCTCGTCATACGGATTCGTTCACGGCCTCGGTTCCATTATTTTGCCATGTTTCCCGGTTGTTGTGTGAATTTCAAAGTGTAGGTAGTGTAAGTTTCAAAAAATTTAATTTTCTAAAGTGGGAGAGTGGAGACGGGAAGTGTGCTAGATATTGGGCGAGAGAGGGTGTCGGCGATACAGAGATGGAGGAGACAGTGTGCGAGTGAGACAGTAGGCGATAATGAAGCTACAACTCCAATTCTGATAGTTTCTGATGTTCACATCTCTGGAGCACATTTTATTGTTCGACAAGTAAAACTTGGATCTGTTCGGGATCTTCTATCGCGCACAAGACTCCCCCGTCGAAATCTGAAATTCGTGTTGTATTAGAAAATTCACAAGAATTTGGGCGGGCTTTTTTGGTGTTATGCAGTTCAAGGCTGGGATAAAGGCAATTTCATCGAAGTCGACCGGTAAGCCGGTTTTTCGCTTAAAGGGGCTTTACGAAGTAAAACATTATAATTTAAATCGTTATTATTATACTATACTGTAATTAGCATTTTAGCGTACCAGAGGGTACTTTATCGTGAAAAATGGCTTGTACAGGTCCATATCCTCATGTAACGGTGCTTTATTGACATTGTTAACCGGGCTTTGATTCTTTAATTTATATAAAATCCTTATTTAAGGCAGATTTAGCTATTATTTTATCAATATACTTTCCATATGATAATGTGATACCTCCGCGTCCTTTGTTTGAAACATTATCTACCAATAACGCGCTATCCGGCAATTAGTAAAGTACAGCCGGTACCGACGGATAGAAAGAGTGGGCAGGGGGAGAGAGCGCAGACATTTTTCTCTGCGTCTCTCTCCCCTTTCCATAATATTTCGAAACGGCTGTACCGGCTGTACTTTACAAACCGCCCACTATCCGCGTAGTTTTTAGGTTTTTCCAGTAAAATGTTGATTTATTCCTAGTTTAATATTTTGTTAGTAATGCGTAGCGTTTAAAAGGCAGTCTGCGAGTCGCCCGACTAAGGCTTTGCGCATTTTTTCCTGAAAAGACTACTAATTCAGGGGATTAAGCACGAACTGGCGCTGCCACACATGTTTGAACTTACGTTTCTTGGCGACGTATAGTTGGAAAAAACAATGGAACTGAAGGATTCCATGAGTGGTGTCCTGAAGTACATCAATATCAAGGAAAGCTAAAATATTAGGGCTTGGAAACCCCGCAAATTTGTTAAGAATGCGCTTTAAAGCTCAAAGCATCGATATCAAGGCAAACGTTTCAAGGAGCTATAAAATCATTATATTGACGAGTTACCTACATAATGCCGACCATTATAATGCCGATTTTCTTAATGCCGATTTTACATAATGTCGATTCTTAGAATGCCGCCTGCCAAAATGCCATTTTTGCGTCTTTTCGCACGTTGCTAATAAGGGAACCTCACGCGGACGTGGTGGAATTTCGGAAAACGTCGCGGCTACCCCGGGTAATCGACCATTGCGGTCAGATGCACTTGTCAGCATTTTCTAAATACACCTGTGGACAGAGACACTCTGTTCAAAATGGGCGGACCGTTGCGCGGCTCTAAGGATTGCGCGGGTCTGCGGGCGGCTCTCGGCCAATGCGCGGTCCGCCCGCGGCCCATTGCGTGGGTCTGCCCTTTCAGCCGCGCAATCGGCCGCGGACGGAGAAAGCGCGGGCCGCGCATTTCGTCCAGAGTTCATGAAAGTACAAGAACTAAAACTTAGGAAATTCATTTCATTTTTATCTAACTTTATAAGCCATTTACTTATAATGCTGTTTGATGCTTGTTCAGTCGACGTTTTCATCGGAGTAACGACTTCTATTTGGTAAGGGTTATTTTGCTTTCCAAATACAATTCCAGGTCTGCGCTCTAACGCATTGTTCGAACTTGTTGCTGTTAAAAGCTGTCAAGCGCACGGTATTATTTTTTAAATTGATCTGATAACTGATAATCTTTTTAGCTACAAAATCTTTTCGTAGTTTGTGAGATGCGCAGCAGAATGCGAGACTAGACGTTTCAAACGGCTGATGAATGTCGGTTCTGCGTGAGTCTTTTGTAGTCATTGTAACAAAATCCTATCAAAAATCATAGAGACGAAGGAGAGTACGCAAATTGCCTTTTCAGGTTCGTTCACTACCGGCACACGTAAAGAGTAAGTCTGAGTCGACGAACGCATGGTATACAACATCCCATCGTGTAAAAAAATGCCGTTTTAACTAAAATAAAAATAAAAAAGCGCTATCGGAATTAAGGAAATGGATCTACGTCAGCATGCGAGCATCCTCACCGAACAACTCTACTCGCGGGACAAGATGATCATAATTTTCTCCGTTTTGATGTGATTGTTATAATGATCGACGTTATCGACGATAGGTTTATGAGGCTCTCCCATCACTATGGAATCACCGGTTGAAGGGCAGAGTGGTAAGCGACTCGCTTGAGAGAATACCAGACATGGCAATCGGCCGGGCCGCGCGGCTTTTTCGGCCGCAAAAATTAGAATGCGGCCGGGCGGCGCGGCTTGGCCGCACTTCCGGCGCGGCCGCGGCTTTTTTCCGTTTTGAGGCCGCACGGCGGCCAAGCCGCGCGGCTTTTGAGGCCGCATCCAAATGAGTTTTTAGTACTTCCGGCACGTAAATCCGAGATGCAATGGGTGTTTAGCTTGCTAACGAGGAAAATATATATTCGACAACCTTAATTTTCTCATTTCCATTGCCATTTTGCATGAAATTCGCAGATTTTTCGTATGTAAATGAGCCAGTTCCGGTTTGCGGCTTGGCCGCAGCGGCCCGGCCGAGCCGCGATCAAAATGCGGCTGGGCCGCAAAGCCGCATTTCCGGAAGTAACTAATTACGGCGGCACGTAGGGGGCCGCGTTTTTTATGGAAATTAGGCCGCCGGCCCGGCCGCGCGGCTCGGCCGATCCGAATTGCCATGTCTGGAGAATACCAACGAGGGTTCGAATCCTCTCACGGTTTTTTCGGCTTTGCTATTTCACCATAGATTTTTGTACAAGAACCTGTAAGCCATTTTTTCTTTCGACGAACGCTAGGTTTTGGTCATATAAATATATTCCAGGTCTTTTTAGTGAACTTTGTAACCATTATTTGTGACACAAAAATCTTACAACATTGTCATAAAAACGATTTCAGCTGGCAGTTATCGGAGACTGAATTTTCGAAGACCGTTTCGATTTTTGATTCAGGGTAATTCCCCAGGAGAATCGAGGTTTCACTATTTTCAAGGGTATTATCGCCGCGTTAATATTGACCGTATAGGCTTTCCGGGAAAAATTGAAATCTCAAATACTAGGATTCATCGGGAGTACAATGGCTTAGCACTCTAGGAAAAGTAGCAAAATCGGCATTTTCGGAACCGGCATCTAAGGATCGGCATTATGAGTATATGCCATATTGACACTTCACCGTTAATTTCAATTCTGTAGAGAGAGAGAGAGAGCGCGAGAGAGAGAGAGTCAGAGAGAGAGAGAGTCGGAGAGAGAGGCAGATAGCAAGTCACCTTTTCCCTCTTCAAAGCCTGAAGTATTTTTGCGCCGTCGGTCGTCGCATCCATCAGATCCATCTTCCCACCATAAATCTTCTCGATTCGTCGCTCGAGGCTTTTCTGAAAGCGGCCTCGGTTGGTGTGTTGATAGGAAGAGAAGATTGTAAAAGCATCGAAAAGTGTCTCGCCCACCACAAAACCAACGACATTGATAGGATGAGGATATGGGGGATTCTCGAGAACACGTCTCGCCTGCACGACATATAGCATTCCACGACGTTGAGGTCTCAACGGGAAAAAGCCCAGCTGAAAACAAACATTAACGGTATCGAAATAGAAAGACATAGCGTTACAGAGAGAGAGAGAGAGAAAGAGAGAGAGAGAGAGAGAGAGGGGGGAGAGAGAGGGGAGAGAAAAATGGAGAAAGAGAGAGAAACGGAGATCGAGAGAGAGAGGGAGGGAAGAGACAGAGAGCAAGAGAGAGAGAGGGAGGGAGAGAGATAGAGAGCGAGAGAGAGATATTACAGTTAGAGGGAGAGGGAGCGAGAGATACATAGATAGAGGAGAGAGAGAGAGAGAGAGAGAGAGAGAGAGAGAGAGAGAGAGAGCAAGAATGAAAGAAAGCAAGCAAATGAATGGCAACATTAAAGAGTTTGCCGTGTCCAGGGTTTTCTTATTGGACCGGCTGAGAGATGCTGACCTCGACCATCCTCAATATATCTATTGTCTTCGGATATGTGACGTGACAGCAAAGATAGACATCGGGTCCAGATCGGTTGCTTTCGAGGCGTGTCAGCCACTCGCCATTCCACATTGATGTACAACTGGCACAACTCCAGAGATTCTCCGTCCACGGCTCCTGCAAGCATCGGGAAAATTCAATTATCCGGTCACCTAGTCAAACCCAAACTATTTATATATAGACGTGTTCGGCTCGTCAAGCTG